AAATATCTTTAAACATTATCAAATTTCCAGTACTTTGACAGTCGACAAAAAGGTTTTAACATTCTCAATATTCTCAGTTAGAAAATAGTCATCACAGTCGTTATCATCTGACATCGTCTTTAGTTGCCAGACAACACGAACTTTTACATAAATCTGAAATTATACTAGATGATTATCAGATTTCCTGTTTGTCCTGGCCAAACAACTATTTGCTCATATGGACTATTATTTAATGCCATTAATACAGTGATTATAGTGACTTATATACCAATGAAAGGTTACTTAACCCTCGTTCCTCATACTCAGTTAGCAATGTCCTATTTGGCGAGTCAGAGACAATGCATGTTGCTCTTAATAGGTCTTCGATTAAGTGTCATTGGTGGTCGTTTGTTTTGTAAAATTTCTTACATCAAGAGTTTCTTGTTTCACTTGCCCCAATGAAACTTGTGGTTGGAAACAAACTCAATGTTAAGATATATAACCATTTCAGTTTAAAATATCTAGAATCCAGAAGTGTTGGATTATTCCGCACGAATTTAACAGAATCGATGTGTTTGTTTTACAAATTGATGTTTAAACCTTGAAAATATTTCTTTATATTAAAATTCTTTATAAAATGTAAAAAAATATTTAATACTTGTTCATGTCATTCTTTATTACGTTACACCTAGTCACATATATACAGGTTTAATTTCTAAACCCCTAGTTCCCACCTGTTACCTTTACGGTGAGGTATCTGATTCTCAGTTGTCTCTCCATGGNGTGGTAACCTTTTTTTTTTTTTTTTTTTTTTTTTTTTTTTTTTTATCAAATTTTCAAACTAATAAAAAAATACTTGAAATAGGTTATTGGTATCTATTATACAACTTTAAGTCATTGACAATTAAGATGTATTGAAGCTTTAATACTTTCCTAGCTTAAAAATATCTTTCTTCGTACCGACGAGGTCTTTGCTAATATAGCAAACTTTCAATAACAGGTGTATATAATGAAACTTTAAACAATTGTCAAAACAAATCTAGTGCGAGATATGAAAGGATGACTATTTTATGAAGACACTCATATGTGCTTTAATAAACTCCCCTGCATCCTTATCCTAAGTGATTAAGATATGTTTAATTGCTATCCATAAAATCTAGTTCATACCTAATTCAAAGACCGAATCCCTAAAAAATGTCTAGCCGTCCAAAATTATGTAAATGAGTAGCCCTTTCTACATTTTCCTTTTGACACACATACAAATGTATATATGTATATATTTAAAAATAAAACAACACACTAAGACTAGTATAATCGGCTCCATTTCCATTTTCTAAGTCTTCGTCCCGTTTATACAAGTCTTCGTCCCGTTTATACAAAGTCTTCGTCCCGTTTATACAAGTCTTCGTGTTTTGCTTTATTTATATTTTTACCGTCACTCGTTTTACTAGTATTTTTTAAAACGTTTTTGGATTTATATGCTTTTTCAGTGCTTATGGCATCGCATTAATATATACCATATTACAATAATGTATGTCACTAACTGGCCATGATTATAAAACATGTAGATTTATAAAGTGATTTGTTTCCTTGAAAGAGCAGGACGTGCCAGGGACGAGGCGGGAAAGTGTTTTATGGACTTATATTTGATAAGTGTGATGACTAGTATGTGAACTGCAATGTTTTTAACAATCATGGCGGTGCTTTGTGACATACTCAATTTGTCAATAGTTATTCAGTGGTAATTCATGATATGTAATTTATATATACATTTCTAACAGTCACGAGTGTCCATTTACATAGTTATATTATACAGAATCGTGTTCCACATACTCATTGCAATATAGCAATATGATATTACCATCTGATGATCACATGTATATTGATATATTATTCATTTCTGGTTTCCACTGCATATCAATCCATTACCCCCTGCCTTATTCCCGTATTTGTTATGTTATACATATTACATCATTCCTGTACATTGTAGCTAGTGTTGAAATGTTGATTAATTAAACAGGTAACATATTTACAAACGTGTCATGACACTTCTTTTTGTTTCCTTTTCGGTTCTATAAAATATAAAAGTTGTATTTCAATGAATTATCAAAAAGATTTGAAAAAAAAACAGAGTTTAAACCAACCGGAGCGTTGCATGTTAATGTGAATTTCAAATTAAAAACTAAAGGAAATACATTTTAAATTTGAATGTCGAAATTTGTAAAAGAACAAACACTGACAAACATGATTATAACAATTTTAATACAAAAATAAAATATTCATGATATGTACATGTAGTTGGCTTTCATTGTGTTAGTGAAGCCATTTTTATCAGTTAGCTGCTTTGGATCAAAACGAAACATTTACATTGACATCAATAGAACTTCACACACACACACACACACACACACACACACACACACACACACACACACACACACATACATTCCGTGTATACAAAAACAATAATGACTGCTGTAAAAAGCAAAGCTTGCAGATACTTTTTAGCTGTTGGAAAACATGCATCCGACTAAGCCATCCGTGGAGGCATGGGATGGTTATTATGTTATACAAAACAAAAGATTACATGCTTAAGGCTGATGTGTAAAATCAAAAGAATGAAGGACAGTCGACTTATTAGTAGGATCACGAGGTGGTCATCCAGATATCGGAAGGGATGGTATTTCTTGGTAAAAAATCTAAATAATGAAAAATAAAGATTAACTGGTGAATAATTAAATTTTTTCTACAAAATACGTCTTAAAAACATCTCATGAATAAACTACACGCGGCAGATAGTGCAGAGTGGCAAAGAGAACTATGGAACGACAAAAGTAACGCGAACGGATATAAGCTCAGAAGATATATAGACAATACAAAAACGACGGAGAACTGTCTGAAGTCGGACATTCCACGAACCAATCGGCGATACCAGGCCCAGTTACGCATCGGATGTCTTCTGCTAGCTATGGAAACTAGAAGATACGCCAGGCCACCCATTGTGACATGAGGAAAGTCGAAGACGAAAAACACTTTTAAATTGAGTGCAAACTTGACAACAATTTAAGATAGTATTTACTAAATCAAGCCTGTGAGGTTATAGATGGGATCTTGATACAGGACAGTGATACATAGTCCTTTAATAGGCCCACACAACTCCAACAACCCAGTGACACATAGTCCTGTAATAGGCCCACACAACTCCAACAACCCAGTGACACATATTCCTTTAACAGGCCAACACAACTCCAACAACCCAGTGACACATAGTCCTTTAACAGGCCAACACAACTCCAACAACCCAGTGACACATAGTCCCTTAACAGGCCAACACAACTCCAACAACACAGTGGCACATAGTCCTTTAATAGGCCTACAAAACTCCAACAACCCAGTGACACATAGTGCTTTAATAGGCCCACAAAACTCAAACAACCCAGTGACACATAGTGCTTTAATAGGCCCACAAAACTCAAACAACCCAGTGACACATAGTGCTTTAATAGGCCCACAAAACTCAAACAACCCAGTGACACATAGTCTTTAATAGGCCCACAAAACTCAAACAACCCAGTGACACATAGTCCTGTAATAGGCCCTCACAACTCCAACAACCCAGTGACGCATAGTCCTTTAATAGGCCCACACAACTCCAACAACCCAGTGACACTTAGTCCTTTAATAGGCCCACACAACTCCAACAACCCAGTGACGCATATTCCTTTAATAGGCCCACACAACTCCAACAACCCAGGTGGAGTATACATTGGTCTGGGGTGGATGTTGCGGTATCTGTGCAGTAGCATTCAAGTGAGGTGGCACTATAAATGAGCCGTTGGAAGCACGGTCCCACTACAAACAGAACACATCACAGAAAGGGCGCTATATCAAATGTTGTATATAAATATGGCGAACTACAGCCAAATATAGGCCAAGTTATTTTTAATGCGCTTAAGGGTAGAAAACTATACATGCAGTAAGCTAACTCATATGTGACATTATACAAGTACATACATAACGTTTGATAAAGTACTATAGCGATTTTCTCGCTGGAGTTGATGATACAGGTAAATGTATGACTTCACTTATGTGTTGAAATACCTTACAGTAAGATATAATAAGCTGACAAAAATTGGTCTATATAGATTTTGGTGACACTTAATTTAATATATGTTAATGCCTTTTGGTGTCTGATAAGTCAAATTGACTTTTACATTATTGTGTCGAAAAAAACACCCCAAATTATAATAAGCTGACAAATATTGGTCTTTTTAAATTTGGTGACATCATGCTAAAAATGTCAGAAACCCTTCCGTGACGAGACAATGCATATTACGATGGGGTCATGATTATGGGAAACACATCCATGTTTAGGTCTAGCCTTTTTGACAATATGTGGCATATTGAGTATTGATGGCGATGAAGAAAATCTTTACTCGATTCTAACTGCTTATGATAGTGAACTAAAATATGTACGATAACATCAGCTCCTACGTAAAACTAGTAGGAAAATACAAGAGGAACTGACGAAACAAACTAAAAAATACATCCTGATCCTTTGTATCATTCATAATCACTGATGCAAATGGCGATGGTTCCGGTCTCAACACAAAACAATCAAATATACTCGATGATTTCAGACACACTACGTCGTCACCCTTCCAAAGTCTGTTACAATATTAACACCTAAACTATTGGGTGGCTGGGTTGCACAGCGTATAGCGAATTGCCTTTCACCAACAGTAACATTTGTATGAGGTCACCTTCCCGATTTCATGGGTTTTTCCCGGGTACTCCGATTTCATCCCACATTAAACCGTCCTAACGCATTGACTAACAAGAGTGATCAATCAAAGTTAATATGTCTTGTTTTGGTCTGAATAACATATATATATATATATATATATATTTACATATCTATATACATATATACTGTATGTACATATCTATATACATATCTATATACATATCTATGTACATATCTATATACATATCTATATACATATCTATATACATATCTATGTACATATATATATACATATCAATAAACTCATCTATATACATATCTATATACATATCTCTTTGAAATGTTGCATAGTGGAGAAAATGGAAACAAAACCACCACGGCGTATGACGGAGTGTATTATTTTCATAAGGTCAAGATTTCAAATCTGTTGCTGTCCTTATCATTATTTACACATTGTGTGTGTGATACAAAGGGAACAAGTATTGCCCCTTGCGTCAGGTTTTTAAACAAAAAGACAGACAGAGTCATGAAACCGGCCTTTTTGTCACAGTGCATTTCTTTCTCTGCAACTACTTCGTCCTCCGATTTGACGCCAGCTCGTATGACATTGGTTCCATGCATACTGCAGTTAATTTCTAAATAAAGATATAGAAAGTGCATACGGGTCCTTTTAACATGTATGCCTCCGTTACAGTTGATATCCTTATTATCATACATCTGTAATCTTCGATCTGAAAACGGATCATTGAAAAATATTGAGCATCCAGTTAATATATGAATAAACAATGGTGTAATGATATACTGTGCATCTTTTATATTTTGTAAGTTTGGACTTTCGCCAAACACATTTGGAATGCGTATTTTTTCGGGGAATTGAAACCACAACAAAGAACATAATATCACTAGTCTCCAATGTATAGTAACAATTTACAAAATTGTTACAGTGTATTAACATAAACAATTACACAGGTATTATATTTGTATTTCCTTGGGTGAAATTACTATTTCTATCATTTAAAACAAACTCATAAATGTTGGTGTCGATTATGATATAACACCAGATGATCACTTGATCTAAGTTAAAGAGAAACAACAAAATGTGCTTCTGACGCAATCTGTGCGCTAGATTCATTAAATCGTCGCTCATATAAATGGAAACAAAAAAGAAAGAAAAAGAAAAGAAAAAGATCTTATATTGTTGATTTATCGGTTATTGAAAATCCTTTGGCTTCGACAATATTTATGGTGTGTAAAATTATAAGAAAGGAGGACATTGATGAAAAAATTGTCCACGATAATGTTTATTGTGTAGCACTGTGTGAATTATGATAATATTAACGACGAAAACAGTTGATTCCATTAAAAAATATTACTTCTTCTTTTCATATTGTATATCAATGATTGTGAAATGAAATTTGTAAATGGCAAATTCACATCTACATAAGTCAGATAAATCAATGTATAATGAATGTAATGCTTCACTATAAAAAAAGCTGTTTGTCATTTAAATCAATAAGTTTTTCAATTAACATTTAGTTTTTGTCGGATACCGAATTATTCGCAAATTTGACAATTTTACTTTTTGATGTTAATAAAAATATATATATAGTGGATTGTTCTTATTACCTGCAGAAACGGCCATTTTACAAGCAATCGACATGTCACTTGTCATCACGAAGTCTGGGTGACTGGTGTTCACTTTCCTGACCTTGTTATGGCTTTTCACCAATACGAACTAAACAAAAAGGTCACATAGCAATATTAATCAGTTGAAGGTTTATGCAAATGATCCACTGTAAAAAAAAAAAAAAAATGTGTTTGACACGTTTAAGTGATATGACTAAAGCATTTATATATTCTTGTTTTAGAAGAAACCAATTGTTGATGTGCAACGTTTACAAAAGCAAAAATAAAGAGGTTTGGTGCTCATCACACGTCTGTCTCGAAATATATACATTTTCGAAGTTTAATGTCAAAGGTTATTAAAGCATGTAATTATGATCAGGACAAAGGCACAGGATCAATTACGTATTCCCTATTTTGCCACTTGAATCACTAGTATGCCAATTCTATTACCGTATACTGTTTTATCTTACAGAGCCCAAATAGAAATTATACCGAAGGTCAATATATTGGTCACCAAAGACCACAGTTAAAATTGGTCATCATTTTTTTTTTATCAATATGACATACTTCTCATTTGCATATCGTACAAGAATGTGAAGTTAAAGTCAAAATATAGTTCACAAAATATCACAGGTATAAAATGATCATCGATTTTGAATTATACATATAAAGATGGTTTTTTAATCATTTGCACATATTATGAAGAGTAAAATAGGTCAAATTGATTAAAAGATCTTTTAAGGTAACATACGAAATTTTCCACGTATGTGAAATTTATATATCTGAACATCACTATCTGAGTCACAGTAACTGACAATATAGTATAACAGGAAGGAACACGAATCTCCTTTCCTCTGAGGACATTTAATAGGGGCATGTTTATATATGAGAGGTTGAAACAAAGGTGAAAATTTAAAACCTCTATTAGGAGCATGGACTACAGCTTGAAAAAACTTGTTTAAATAACAATGATACAAACAGTTTACTTTTAAGTTCAACTTGAAATTGCCCACTTGAAAAATGTGCAGAGATCAAAGGTTATGTAAACAAAACCCCAACTCATAGCTGAGAGTAAAAAACATTTCTTCTTCCATTGGGTATATATTAGAATGTTGTTTAATTAAAAATTCAAAAACCACTACTTAAATACTTACCAGGTGAGCTAGTTTCTGTATTGATTGTGATTGATAGTAGCAGCACATTGATGGAAATTCAGTTTGAAAACTGTTCTCCAATGAAGAATTCCTCGAACTGACGCTCCGAACACCTTCATGTGATTTTCTCAGTAACCCACCCTTGCATCGTATGTGCTTTGTGAAGAAACACAGTTCAGTTCCCTCTAGCCCTCTGAGTATTGTGGCTGCTGAAGGAGGGGGAGCTTTCATGGGTTGAGAATCTTCAGGACTATTGTTCAAGATATAAGCTGTGTATGAGAAATGAGCTAACACAGCAAGTAGAAGAATATTAAAAATTCCGGATATTAGGAAATTACGAAGTAGGGTAAGTGTTGGCTTGCTGCATTGTCTCCTGTCTCCTCCAGGGATAGGTGTGATGTACTCACTGACACTGGTGTGGGGTGTAGGATTAAGCGGTGCGTGTTGTGTAGGTTCGACCTGTTGAGATGCAGGAAGTTTCACTAATGTTTGAGACAGTTCTTCGTACTGTGGCTCCGAGTAATACGGTGTAAGATACTCGGAGTCTGGTTTACCTATGCAGGGAGCAGACCCGGTCAGGTTCCAGCCAGTGTAGTCATTTTGAATTGAATCAGGATATATGTCCATCGTGCAAGATGATATCCATTATCTCTAAAACAGCAAAATGTCAGGTATCACCTAAATGTCAATTTCCTGCATAGAGTAGCACTATTGTGTTAGGTTACGGGTAACACTACATCAGTTATAATAGCAAAGAACCTCTCAGATTTTTTTATTTGGAGTATCCCCCCTTTTATTTTAAGTTGAAGTAACCGAAAGACGTTTTTTTCTGGCTGAGAGTCACTTATCCTATCGAATGCTTATTGGCTTTGTTACCCATAAATTGGTAAACATCATTTTTAAGTTTCAATATGCTGTAACATATATCTTTGAAAACAGTAATAGACAAGCACAGACAAAGATTTCTTTTTAATATATAAGTCACAATTGCTGAAATTAAGGCAAACGATCCCGTGTTCATGTATTCTGCTTTCGGTTTAAAAATCCAAATTAGTAGCCAATTTGATTGATTTTAAAAGTAAACATGCATGCATTTTCCTTGTGTTGTCGACCCAGCTGGCTGGTTAGTCCTTTCAAATATTCAAACAGTCTAAACATTCAATATTTAAAAGTTATTTTGAGATGCAATACTGTTAACCGTGATGTTTGGCAATAGTAAAAAGAGAACTTGGTTAACTTGGTTAAAGTGCTGCATGGATTATACTTTATGTTTGTAAAGTGTAAATTGGAAGACAAATGTACTCTAACTTGCATAACTCAAGAGTGCAAATGAGTTTTTAACTCATTTATTGGACAGTGTCAGATAAAATGTGGTTGAACTATCCAATATATTTTAGAAATATTAAACACTTCTAATGAAGTTTAATCTAAAAACCCAACCCCAAGATATCCTATAAAAAGTTATATCTGTAATGCATTAGTTTTAATTATTTTGCTTAAGAATGAATACCCTGTAATTTTAAATACATCTATAAAATGTCATTGTTTCATAAGCGATATTTCCTTTCGATATGCAACATATCTGATGTATGTATGTATGTATGTATGTATGTATGTATGTATGTATGTATGTATGTATGTATGTATGTATGTATGTATGTATGTATGTATGTATGTATGTATGTATGTATGTATGTATGTATGTATGTATGTATGTATGTATGTATGTATGTATGTATGTATGTATGTATGTATGTATGTATGTATGTATGTATGTATGTATGTATGTATGTATGTATGTATGTATGTATGTATGTATGTATGTATGTATGTATGTATGTATGTATGTATGTATGTATGTATGTATGTATGTATGTATGTATGTATGTATGTATGTATGTATGTATGTATGTATGTATGTATGTATGTATGTATGTATGTATGTATGTATGTATGTATGTATGTATGTATGTATGTATGTATGTATGTATGTATGTATGTATGTATGTATGTATGTATGTATGTATGTATGTATGTATGTATGTATGTATGTATGTATGTATGTATGTATGTATGTATGTATGTATGTATGTATGTATGTATGTATGTATGTATGTATGTATGTATGTATGTATGTATGTATGTATGTATGTATGTATGTATGTATGTATGTATGTATGTATGTATGTATGTATGTATGTATGTATGTATGTATGTATGTATGTATGTATGTATGTATGTATGTATGTATGTATGTATGTATGTATGTATGTATGTATGTATGTATGTATGTATGTATGTATGTATGTATGTATGTATGTATGTATGTATGTATGTATGTATGTATGTATGTATGTATGTATGTATGTATGTATGTATGTATGTANGTGTGTGTGTGTGTGTGTGTGTGTGTGTGTTTGTGTATGGATGGATGGATGGATGGATGTTTGTGTGTTTGTGTGTTTGTGTGTTTGTATGTATGTATGTGTGTATGTGTGTATGTGTGTATATATGTATGTATGTATGTATGTATGTATGTATGTATGTATGTATGTATGTATGTATGTATGTATGTATGTATGTATGTATGTATGTATGTATGTATGTATGTATGTATGTATGTATGTATGTATGTATGTATGTATGTATGTATGTATGTATGTATGTATGTATGTATGTATGTATGTATGTATGTATGTATGTATGTATGTATGTATGTATGTATGTATGTATGTATGTANGTGTGTGTGTGTGTGTGTGTGTGTGTGTGTGGATGGATGGATGGATGGATGTGTGTTTGTGTTTGTATGTTTGTATGTATGTATGTGTGTATGTGTGTATATATGTACAGTATGTATGTATGTATGTATGTATGTATGTGTGTTTGTGTGTTTGTATGGATGGATGGATGCTTCATTTCTAAAAAGGTGAATGAAGACTGCGTACACAAGATTTCATATAGTAAACACGTACATTTTATGATGCAGTGTTTCGAACAAAGTGATCCGACAGTCTTACTGGTCCAACATAGACTGTCAGTTGTAATGTTTGTGTAACCTCAAGCGGAGGTCTTATACAATGTATCAGGGTGTGTTTTCTCAACATCAGTGGACAATCCAATGTTAATTTGACCCCATAGTCTAACAATTGTATACCAATAAAAGCATCTACTGTTGTCTATAGCTAGCGATATTTGTCTTGACAACTTAGACAAAACGCAAATGCTTGCAGTCGTACAGCGCGCGGAGAACTGTGCCGGCCCTGATCATGTCGGCCACAATACTTAAGTTTGTGGACAGACCATTTTTCTGGGGCTAATTAGCAGATTGTCTTCTATTTTGTAAACTAAGTACCCAATTAAAAACGAAAATAACCACTGGATACTTTTTTCTAACGACAGCTTGAGCCTAAGACCGAGAAATACGAAACTAATCCTTGACCTAAAAGCTAGCTCATGGTTCCACCGAAAACAAAAACATTCAGCAGTCCAGCTTGGGAAATAGAAGCCTTTATTTTGACCTCCAGCTACACCGATTATAAACACGAGTGGCTGTTTTGACGTTTGAGTGTTGTTATTAACGTCAAAAACAAAATTCTAATTCGTAACATATTTCGCAAACAGTTTTTAAATAATTTTGGAAATCCTCTTCGACCATTTTGTCTGATTTTTGTCGGATGAATAACTCCGAACTATTCTCAATAAATGAATAAATAATGACCATACTGGTTTTTGTTATTGTCGGTACACAGGAGTAAACACAAGACTAATATCTAATATATTATACAAGTTACTGAAGAGAATAATATCCCTGTCTCTCTCTGAGACGATATAATAATGAAAATGACGATTAATGTTTGGATGATGATGATGATGATGATATGATGATGATGATGATGATGATGATGATGATGATGATGATTTGTGTGTGGGGGTGGATGAGTGGTGCATGTGTGTTCATATGCTATGGCATTTATCATGGAAAATGTCTAAAAAAATATATAAGAAAATTACAAAAAACAAAACGGAAAAATCTTATAGCAATATAAAATAGCACATACTCACAGTCATACAAAATTAAAGACATCATATAAAAATATACTTCAAAGGAACTGGAGAGACGCTGAACAAAAGGAGAAAAGACTTAATCCCTTGCCATCTTCATGTCGGTCAAATTATTATGGAATCTAACAAAAGGCAGTGAAGCAGTTACTAGAACCCGAACGAATTGTGACTACCGGGAACTCACAGAACAAGTAACCAAATATATCCTCCTGCATTATGTCATATTCCTTAAAAAACCACTACGGTCTGTCACTTCCTCTATGAAAACTAAGACGTGAACAGAAATCCTGATACACTGTATGTTATGCTATCGTTAAAATCCACTGTCCTTTTAGTGATTAAAACCCTATACTACCATCGATAGACTATACGCATGTACATCAGGTGTAAACAGCAACCATAGCCGATAAAAAATAAAAACCTTGTAATATCGAGTAGACTATAGACTATAAGATATACCACACACCAAACTACGATCAAACACAGTGTCTACAAACCCATACGGTACACACTTATACACACTACAATCATATGTAATAAAAACTTCGGAGATTGTCTAATACATTGTACCTGTATTATTTAAATTTACGTGAATATGTTTTTATTGACACTAGCTATGTAAACATACAATGATATATCAAACAGAGCGGACATTTAAATGTGAGTATCGCATTTCAAAACGGAAAGTTTCAACTGTTACCAATGTTGTCTAACAGATCTTTAATTGTTTTTAAAGATGATAAGATATCGGTAAAACTTAATGTACATAAATTACATGAATATAAACTTACCGGAGTTCTGGCAGACATCTAGAGTACGGTGGCGAAGTGATATTACACATCACAACTTGGAAATCCCCAAATCACTCTACTTTGCTTTTAGTAACAATTAACTTTCACGTGCAATCAACATCGTCAATACACAAAGACAATTCGCAACCAAACATGCTAAAGATGATTCTGGATCTCTTTAGGACACTAGAAACATGCACTTCACACTTCCATCAGTTATGCCACCATCACGTGCATTTATATTTACATACAGATTCCCGGAATCTGTAGCTATAAATAGACTACACAACGTACGGGAAAGGACGGCAGGTACATTTTGAATACATGTACACCGCTACGGATTGGGATCAACCATTTTACTCGACATAAAAAAAAAAAAAAATAACAGTCAGAAACACGCATGGTTATGTTAACTTCAGGTACGTATGTTCTTACATGCTGAAAAAAATAAAAAAAATCCTGTTTAATAAGTCTGTGTTGAATATCAAAAGATATACATTTCAATATTCCATTAAGATCAGTACATTTAAGTATGAATCCCATCATTGTGCTACATGTACTGGCATATTAGGACTAGACTATGTGCTCAACTGAGGTATGGCAGGGGAATAATCTAGTACAATTTAAGACGACATATGTATTGAGATTTCTTTACCCGGCTCTAGCACAGTCGGTTTTTCGACGTCCTGATACTTTTTGTTGCAACTTGTAACCCCCCCCCCCCCCCCCCCCACTAGATACCTATACGCATGCACAAATGATCTTATTTGGTAAAGGTATAATGATCAAAGGTTTACAGCAACCGCTGTAATATCCTGTGTATTAAAAGCAAACATTTCGCCAATATCTCAAGAACACGATTTCCGGGTTGATATAGTCAAAAACATGTATCCTGTTAAAAAAAATCAACAAGGGAAATTTTCATCCATTTTTCAAAATGAAAATCCTCCTTAAAAAGTAGGTTGTGTAGGCTGTGTGATTGTCCCATTGGGAGGATATCGTATTGCTGGTACTAGAATACCTGATTATCATATCGCTGTTGTCAAACAAATAACATGTCTGTAGTTGACAGGTTGTGTATCAGGGTGCATAACTATGACTGGGTCATTGATAACGCACACAAAACTCAAACCGTTATGATCACAAGTTACCTTACATATTATAGCTGTGACATGTGTTAGAGTTAAGGTTATATGTTACTTCACAAATTACACCTGTGATTTGTGTTCGAGGTAAGGTTATACACCTCACACATTATAGCTGTGATATGTGTTAGAGTTCGTAGGTTATATGTTACATTACACATTATACCTGATTTGTGTTAGAGTTAAGGTTATACAAGTTGTATGCTACCTTATACATTATACAAATGTACCTGTGATTTATATTAGAGTTAAGGTCATATGCTACCTTACACATTATACCTGTGATATGTGTTAGAGTTAAGGTTATATGCTATCTTACACATTATAGCTCTGATATGTGTTCGGGTTAAGATTATATGCTACCTTACACATTATACCTGTGATATGTGTTAGAGTTAAGGTTATATGCTATCTTACACATGATAGTTGTGATTTGTGTTAGAGTTAAGGTCATATGCTACCTTACACATTATACCTGTGATATGTGTTAGAGTTAAGGTTATATGCTATCTTACACATTATATCTGTGATATGTGTTAGAGTTAAGGTTATATGCTTTCTTACACATGATAGTTGTGATTTGTGTTAGAGTTGAGGTCATATGCTACCTTACACATTATACCTGTGATATGTGTTAGAGTTAAGGATATATGCTACCTTACATATTATAGCTTTGATATGTGTTAGAGTTAAGGTAATATGCTATCTTACACATTATAGCTCTGATATGTGTTCGGGTTAAGATTATATGCTACCTTACACATTATACCTGTGAGTTGTGTTAGAGTTAAGGTCATATGCTACCTTACGCATTATACCTGTGATATGTGTTAGAGTTAAGGTTATATGCTATCTTACACATTATAGCTGTGATTCATATTAGAGTTAAGGTCATATGCTACCTTACACATTATACATGTGATATGTGTTAGAGTTAAGGTTATATGCTATCTTACACATTATAGCTGTGATATGTGTTAGAGTTAAAGTTATATGCTATCTTACACATTATAGCTGTGATTTGTGTTAGAGTTAGTCATATGTGTACCTTACACATCATACCTGTGATTTGTGTTAGAGTTAAGGTTATATGCTATCTTACACATTATAGCTGTGATTCATATTAGAGTTAAGGTCATATGCTACCTTACGCATTATACCTGTGATATGTGTTCGAGTTAAGGTTATATGCTATCTTACTCATTATACATGCGATATGGTTTAGAGCTAAGGTTATATGCTACCTTACACATTATAGATGTGATATGGTTTAGAGCTAAGGTTATAAGCTATCTTACACATTATAGATGCGATATGGTTTAGAGCTAAGGTTATATACTACCTTAAACATTATACCTGTGATTTGTGTTAGAGTTAAGGTTATATGCTACCTTACACATTATAGAAGCGATATGGTTTAGAGCTAAGGTTATATGCTATCTTACTCATTATAGATGCGATATGGTTTAGAGCTAAGGTTATATGCTATCTTACACATTATACCTGTGAGTTGTGATATAGTTAAGGTTATAGGCTACCTTACACATTATACATGTGATTTGTGTTAGAGTTAAGGTTATATGCTACCTTACACATTATAGAAGTGATATGGTTTAGAGCTAAGGTTATATGCTATCTTACTCATTATAGATGCGATATGGTTTAGAGCTAAGGTTATATACTACCTTAAACATTATACCTGTGATTTGTTTTAGAGTTAAGGTTATATGCTACCTTACACATTATAGAGGTGATATGGTTTAGAGCTAAGGTTATATGCTACCTTACGCATTATAGAAGTGATATGGGTTAGAGCTAAGGTTATATGCTACCTTACACATTATAGATGCGATATGGTTTAGAGCTATGGTTATATGCTACCTTACATATTATACTTGTGATTTGGTTACGCATTACCGTGTACATATAAAAGCGGGGTACTCTCTACCTTAAATCATTATAATATTCAATGCATATGTCCTTTGCACCTAACCTGCTTAGTAACACCTTGATATCAGTATGACTAATAGATTTATCGGCGACTTTAGACCAGGAACAGCGCTATGTAGGTCAAAGCCAGCGTTGTTTACATAACAAGTCACGTAAAATCACAGGCAAGATAAAACGCCTGCTCATTACTAATCGAAGTTAAAGCACTTTCTGCAGGCTTCAGAAAAGGTCACTCAACAACAGAGAACGTTTTTATTTTTCCTCCGGTAGAAAACTAGCTATACTGTGCATTCGTTGACTTTAGAAAAGCCTTCAATTTCCAAACTACTCAAATGTAGCATAACTGGTAAAATATTTAAAGTTTTAATTAACATGTATTCTGATACGAAATCTTGTGTGAGAAATGGTATGAAATGTTGGAAATGTTCACTTCGAATATCGGACTAAAACAAGGGGAAAATTGCTCGCCTTTTTGTTTGCATTATTTTAAAATGATTTAGAAGACTATTTATTAGAAAAAAATGTCGATTGTTTACTAAAGATTGATGAACTTTGTCAGGATGAAATTGGTATGTACGTAAAACTTTTTCGTTATTTTATATGCTGACGATACAATGTGTTAATGTCAGAGACAGCGGATGGTCTACAATCAATGCTAAATAAATTTCAGGATTATTGTGAGAATTGAAAACTAACGGTAAACAAACAGAAGACAAAAATTGTTATCTTTTCTAAATGAAAGAATACTAACAGAAATCGATTTATATTATATGATAGTGAGCTAGACATTCAAGATTTTTTTCCATACTTAGGTGTTCTGTTTTACTATAATGGAAGGTTTGTAGTGGCAAAAAAAGCAATAAGCTAAACAGGCCCAAAAAGCGCTATATGCCGTAAATCAATGGGTAACGTTACATTTCTTAATTTTCTATCTACAGTTAAAATTGTTAGACTCGCTAGTTGCTCCTATTTTGCTATACTCATCAGAAATATGGGGCTATGATGATGTTAGTATATTTGGAAAAACACACCTCCAATTCCGTAAACGAGTTCCTGGTCTACGTAGAAATACTTGTAATGTATGGTTTATGGAGAAACGGGCAGATACCCTATTGAAGTCGATGACAAATTAAGAATTATCAAATTTTGGTATAGAATTACCTCAAGTGAAAATAAGTTTTCTAGTCGTATGTACAAATTGATGATCTCATTACAGGAAAATTGACAAATCGAGTTTAAATGGTTGAATTATGTTAAACATATCCTGGATAGCATAGAGGTCTAAGCTATGTTTGGATCCATAAAAAAAAAAAATGTCTGCCCGATATTGCTTATTAAAAACTGAAATTATACATACATTACACGATCAGTTTATCCAATCCTGGTTTAATAAATTGACACCTCATCCAGAGGACGATTGTACTTTACAGTTAAATATCGCTTTGGTTAAGTAGACTATATTTTATACGATTAAACGCAAAAGATAGGAAAATTATCTGCAAATTTAGAACTTCAAATATTAAGCTTCCAGTAGAAACAGGAAGA